CTGCTGAATAACCTGATTTCTTTTAATGAAATCAAAAATGTAACTGAATCTTTACCTACAAAGAAGAGCCCAGACCCAGATGGATTCACTGCAGAATTCTACAAGAAATACAAAGAAGACCTAATGCCAACACTCCTCATACTCTTCAATGAAAGTGAAAGGGATGTAATCCTTCCAAAATCATTCCTAGAAGCAAATACTATTCTAGTACCAAAACCTGAGAAAGACTCAACTGAAAAAGAGAACTACAGACCCAGCTCCCTAATGGTCACAGATGCAAAAATCCTCAACAAAATATTGGCAAATAGGATGCAGCAAATCATCAAGAAGATCATATAACATGACCAAGTGGGATTCATCCCATGCATGCAGGGATGGTTCAATATATGTAAATCAATAAATGTAATACACCATATCAATAAAGCCAAAAGTAAGAATCACATGACCATTTGTATTTATGCAGAAAAAGCTTTTTATAAGGTCCAACATTCATTTATGATAAGAACCTTGCAGAAAATTGGAATAGCTGGTCTTTACCTCAATATAATAAAGGCCATCTATGACAAACCAAAAGCCAGCATCATACTAAATGGCCAAAAATTGAAGGCCTTTACTTTAAAATCAGGTACAAGACAACGATGTTCCTTATCTCTCCTCCTATTAAATATAGTACTGGAAATACTAGCCAGAACAATTAGACAAGAGAGAGAAATAAAACGTGTAAAGATATGAAAAGAAGAAGTTAAGTAATCATTATTTGCAGATTACATGATTCTGTATATAGAAGATTCCCAAAACTCCATTGAAAGACTCCTAGATATAATAAATAAATTCAGTTATGTAGCTGGATATAAATCAATACTCAAAAACAAATAGCACTCCTATGCAATAACAAAGTCAGAGAGAGAAATAAGAGAAGCCACACCTTTCACAGTAGCAACCAAAAAAATGAAATATTTAGGAATTACTCTCATGAAAGAAGTGAAAGACCAGACGAGATCAGGCACCTTCAGGGTGGTACGGCACTAGGTTGTTGAAACTGTCATGCTTTGACCTATATTGTTACATTGTTATGTCTTCATTTATCTCAATCTCTCACTTATTTATTAAAAAATTAGTTATTTTTTATGATTTTTTTAATTAATGGGAAAAATAAAAAAAATTAGCAGGGTATACTATACAAACATTTTTGATTTCCTATTAACTAGATTTGTAGTGCTGTAATACTCCCACTATCTTGTTTTGATTGATTAGACTCTGTTCCTTTCTGTATGACAGTATCAAGTTTGAGGGTATAGGCAACTACTTTGAAGGCAATAAGATTCACTATGATGCCCATTGTGGTTTCACTATTATCTTCTTTGGAATTCCTGTAATGTTTACAAGGTTTAGGATTTATTGGTTTTGTTCTCTACTGTTTTGTTCAACTTTGTAATACCTAATGAAATATACAATTCTTTTTAAGGCTGCAAGAGGCATTATGGTAACAATTGTTGATAACCTTGTACTCTGTTTTTACATCATGTGCTGGGTCTATCCTTGGTTTTGACGGACAGCTTTGTTTTGCCATATTTGACTTTATTCTCTTCCAAAAAAACTAATAAGAACTAAGGAGTAATCAAAGCCAAGATGTGTAAATTTTGTTCTAAAAAAGAGAGGAAAAAAAAGTGCTCTAAAGGATACAACTGCAAGTGTTTAGGGTGTTAAATAGATGAGCATATTAATGTTTTCGGTTGGATGATTGAACACAACTGTTTGCAGTCTCACTGCTTGAATGTCCACTTTGTATGTTTTGATAGTGTGACTTGAGCAACTATGTCTAAGATGATAATGTGTAATCTATTAACTGGTGATTTCTTACTTTTTTTGTAGTTCTGTATTACTTGTACCCTTACACCACTTTATTTTGTTTTGTTTTTTCCCCTTTTCCTTTTAAATAAAATTAAATAAGGAAGTGAAAGACCTATACAGGGAAAATTATAATACACTGAAAAATGAAATTGAAGATGACCTGGAAAGATATCCCTTGCTCATAGATATGATGAATACATATTGTGAAAACGGCCATTCTCCCAAAACTTTTATACAGATTGAATGCAATCCCAATAAAAAATACCACCAACATACCTCTTAGAACTCGAGAAATCACTCTTAAAATACATCTGGAGTGAGAAGAGAACTACAATAGCAAGGAGATTTCTAAGCAACAAAGGCAAGGCAGGAGGTATCAACAATCCCTGACTTGAAGTTATCCTACAAAGCAACCATAGTAAAAATCAACATGGTACTGGAACCAAAACAGAGCCAAAGATCAGTGGAATAGATTAGAAGATTTGAGCACAACTACAAACACATTCAACCATCTTATCTTTGATAAAGGGGCCAAACATGATCACTGGAAGAACGCCAGTCTCTTTAATAAACGGTGTTGGAAAAACTGGCTCTCCATTTGCCAAAAACTAAAACTAGACCCATGCTTATCACCATGTACTAAAATAAAATCTAAATGGATTAAAGATCTAAATGTCAAAACAGAATCTAAATATTAAAACACTGAATCTATTGGAAGACAAATTGGGCAAAAACCTTGAAGACATAGCAGTAGGTAGAGAATTCATGAACAGGACTCAAACTGCATGGGAAATACTTCCCAGGGTCAATAATTGGGATGACCTCTTATTAAAAAGTTTCTGCACATCAATGAAATCTCCAGCACAGTGAAAAGAAAACCCACACACTGGGGAAAAAATCTTAGTGAACTGCCTCCCAGTCCAAAGTCTTCTGTGTAAAACAAATAAAAAATTTAAAAAAAATCAGACCCCCAAAATCCAAATTATGGGCATCTGACATGAATAAACAATTTTCAGATGAAGAAATACAAATGACAAATAAATATATGAAAAAATGTTCAGTATCATTAGTCATTAGAGAGATGCAAACTAAAACTACACTGAGATTTCATCTCACTCCTGAAAGAATCGCCAAGATCAAGAAAACCACCAACAACAAATGCTGGAGAGGCTGTGGGGAAAAAAGAACTCTCCTGCACTGTTGGTGGGAGTGTAGACTAGAACAACCATTGTGGAGGTCAGTCTGGAGATTTCTCAGAAAGTTGGGATTGGAAGCCCCGTTTGACCCAGCTATACCACTTCTAAGCATATTCCCAGAAGAATTGAAAGCAACATACCACAGTGATATATGTGCACCCATGTTTATAGCAGAGCAAATTGTAATAGCCAGGTCTTGGAAACAACCTAAGTGTCCATCAACTGAGGAATGGATAAAAAGTTGTGGTATTTTTATACAATGTAGTACTACTCAGCTATAAAGAATGATTACATTGAGACATTTATAAATAAATGGATGCAGCTTGAGAACATACTCATAAGTGAAATAAATCAAACTCACATGTATAAATACCGAGTAGTTTCCCTAGTGTAAGATATGATAAGAATATATAAAAGTGTGTGGTAATCATGATTCCCAATCATATTGGTTTGAAGCCATATGTTTTCACTCATTAATTGCAATGGTTTTAACCTAGGTTGTTTGATTTTAGTATCAGTGATAATAAGAATAGCTATTTTGAAGAAAATAGTACAACATAAAACTAGTGCTGATTTAGTATCATCTTGTTATGAATTCCCATCAAGCTGTTGTACATCTGTTTTCACCGGTTTTAACATGTTGTATCTTACTATATTTTACTATATGCGATAGTATAAACAGAATTTTTTATTGGCAAGCAGATAATATAGAAAGCATTTTTCATTTTCTATTAGCTGGTCTAAATATTCTGTAATTCTTTCATTCTGATGAATGGCTTCACATTGTCTTAACATGCTTGATGCCATAGCATATGAAGTTACACGCAAATAATTTAAGGAAGGAGGCACTATGGTGACTACCATTATGTTAGATTATCTGATGCTGAAACAAAATGATGCTTAAATTGTTCAGTTCTGACCTGCGTTGTTCTGTTACAATATCCTTTTTTTAACTCAATCTCCTCCCTTTTTAAGTTAATCTATTTTTCTCATTTTTTTAATTATGGGAAAACTAAATTAAAAAATAGCAGGATATATTATAGTAACTTTTTTGTTTTCCTATTAACTTGTTATGATCCTCAGTACTGTTCTCCCCATCTTCTTCTGTCTGATTATACTATATTGTAGTTTGTTTGATAGTATCAAGTTTGAAGGTATAGGTAACCATTTTGAAGGCAATAAGATATAGTATGATGCCCATTATGGTTTGACTGTTATCTTTTTTGAAGTCCTATAAGTTCTCCAGTGTAGGTTTTATTTGTCTTGTTCTGTACTATTTTGATCAATTCTACTATTCCTGATGATATAGACAACTCAATTTAAAAATAGCAGGAGGCACAGTGGTAACCAATGTTGATCACCTGGTATTCTATTTTTGCATCATGTACTATGCCCATCCTTCTGATCTGACTCTGTTTTGCCTAATCATGTTTGGTTTTATTCTCTTCAAAAAAAGTAATAACTGTGGGAGTAATAAAACCCAAAAAGTGTAATTGTTATTGTAAAAAAGAGAGGAAAGGAAAGTGAATTAAGGGATATAACCGCATGTATGTTTGAGTGTGTAGGATGAAAAACCATATTTCTGAGCTTTTCTTAGATCATTGAACAGAACTGTCTCCAATCTTACTTTATGAATGTCCACTTTATATGTTTCAATTTTATAATTTGGACAACTGTTTCTAAGAAGACAACATGTAACCTATTAACTAATGATTTCTTTATTTTTTTCTTGAAATGCTGTATTACTTGTACCCTTTTACTGCTTTGATTTTTATGTCCTTTCTTTTTTCTCTTTACATAAAAAAGATATCGTACACTGTGAGAGTAAAGTTTGGGCCCATTAGGCATCAAGATAGAGCAAGAAAGTATCCAATAATTTTCCTCCACTTCACAAAATATTTCAACTTCATCGAAGAGAGGAAAGACCAAGGGAAAAATGTATTAATGAGAGGCGCAGTTCTCCCGTGAGAGGGTCCTTGCGGTGAATCAGGCACACTCGCTCAGCAGTAGAAGACTCCGAGTTCTCGGTATTCTGCAGGGATGAGTCATGTGGCAGTGGAAAATGCGCTCGGGCTGGACCAGCAGTTTGCTGGCCTAGACCTGAACTCTTCAGAAAATCAGACTGGAGGGAGTACAGCCAGTAAGGGGCGTTACATTCCTCCACATTTAAGGAACAGAGAAGCTACTAAAGGGTACTACGACAAAGACAGTTCAGGGTGGAGTTCTAGTAAGGATAAGGATGCATACAGCAGTTTTGGATCTCGTAATGATTCAAGAGGGAAGTCTAGTTTCTTCAGTGATCGTGGGAGTGGATCAAGGGGAAGATTTGATGATCGCGGACGGGGTGACTATGATGGCATTGGCAGCCGTGGAGACAGGGGTGGCTTTGGCAAATTTGAACGTGGTGGAAAGAGTCGCTGGTGTGACAAATCAGATGAAGATGACTGGTCAAAACCACTCCCACCAAGTGAACGCTTGGAGCAGGAACTCTTCTCTGGAGGCAACACTGGGATTAACCTTGAGAAATATGATGACATTCCAGTTGAGGCAACAGGCAACAACTGTCCTCCACATATTGAAAGTTTCAGTGGCAAAAATTCCACAAACACATGGAAACTAAATAACACACTCTTGAGTAATCAGTGGGTCACAGAAGAAATTAAAGAAGAAATTAAACAATACCTAAAAGAAAATGAAAATGCAGATACAACTTACCAGAATCTGTGGGATGCAATGAAAGCCATTCTGAGAGGAAAATTTATTGCACTGAGTTCCCACATCAGGAAAACAGAATGAATACAAATAAATAACTTGATGCTACACCTCAAACAGCTAGAAAAAGAAGAGCAAGTCAAGCCCAAAGCCAAAAGAAGAGAGGAAATTATAAAAATCAGAGCAGAAATCAATGCAATAGAGACTAAGAAAACAACCCAAAGAATCAACGAATCAAAGAGTTGGTTCTTTGAAAGAATAAATAAAATCGATAAGCCCCTAGCCAACCTTATTAAAAAAAGGGAAGAAAAAGCTCAAATTCATGCAATAAGAAATGAAAAAGGAGAAATCACTACAGACCCAATAGAAATACAGAGGATCATCAACACCTATTTCGAAAACCTCTACTCTCAAAAGTTTGATAACACAGAAGAAATAGACAGATTCTTAGAAGCATATGAAGTACCAAAGCTAGATCAAGAGGATATAAAACTGTTTAATAACCCAATCTCTGCTAATGAACTTGAAAATGTAATTAAGTCCTTACCCACCAAGAAGAGCCCAGGCCCAGATGGATTCAATGCAGAATTCTACAAGAAATATAAAGAAGACCTAATGCCGACACTCCTCAAACTATTCAATGAAATTGAAAGGGAAGCAATCCTTCCTAAGTCATTCCTGGAAGCAAATATTACTCTAGTACCAAAACCTGAGAAAGACCCAACTATAAAAGAGAACTATAGACCGATCTCCCTAATGAACACAGATGCAAAAATCCTCAATAAAATATTGGCAAATAGGATCCAGCAAATCATCAAGAAGATTATACACCATGACCAAGTGGGGTTCATCCCAGGAATGCAAGGATTGTTGAACATACGCAAATCAATAAATGTAATCCACCATATCAATAAAGCCAAAAATAAGAATCACATGATCATTTCTATAGATGCAGAAAAAGCCTTCGATAAGGTCCAACACTTATTCATGATAAGAACTTTACAGAAAATTGGAATAAATGGTCTTTACCTCAATATAATAAAGGCCATTTATGACAAACCAACAGCCAGCATCATACTAAATGGCCAAAAATTGAAAGCCTTTACTTTAAAATCAGGCACAAGACAAGGATGTCCTTTATCACCACTCCTATTTAATATAGTACTGGAAGTACTAGCCAGAGCAATTAGGCAAGAAAGAGAAATAAAAGGGGTAAAGATAGGAAAAGAAGAAGTTAAATTATCATTGTTTGCAGATGACATGATACTCTACATAGAAGACCCCCTAAACTCCATTAAAATACTCTTAGATAGAATAAATAAATTCAGTAATGTGGCTGGATACAAAATCAATACTCAGAAATCAATAGCATTCCTATACACGAACAACAAAATTACAGAGAGGGAAATAAGAGAAACTGGACTATTCACATTAGCAAGCAAAAAAATGAAATACTTAGGAATTACTCTTACGAAAGAAGTGAAAGACTTATACAGTGAAAATTATAATACACTGAAAAAGGAAATTGAAGATGATCTCAGAAAATGGAAAGACATCCCTTGCTCATGGATAGGAAGAACAAATATTGTGAAGATGGCCATTCTCCCAAAACTGTTATACAGATTCAATGCAATCCTAATAGAAATACCATCAACATACCTTATAGATCTAGAGAAATCACTCCTAAATTTCATCTGGAACCAGAAGAGACCTAGAATCGCAAAGGCAATTCTAAGCAGCAAAGACAAAGCAGGAGGCATCACAATCCCTGACTTGAAGTTATACTACAAAGCAACAGTAGTAAATTCAACATGGTATTGGAATCAAAACAGAGCCGAAGATCAGTGGAATAGATTAGAAGATACAACCACAACTACGAACACACTCAGCCACCTTATCTTTGATAAAGGAGCCAAGCAGGTTCACTGGAAAAACGACAGTCTCTTTAATAAATGGTGCTGGAAAAACTGGCTCTCCATTTGCCGAAAACTAAAGCTAGACCCATGTCTATCACCATGTACTAAATTAAAATCTAAATGGGTCAAAGATCTGAATATTAAAACAGAAACACTAAATCTACTGGAAGACAAATTAGGTAGAAACCTTGGAGACATAAAAGTAGGTAAAGAATTCATGAACAGGACTCAAACCGCACAGGAAATACTTCCTAGGATCAATAACTGGGACCACTTCTTATTAAAAAGTTTCTGCATGTCAAAAGAAATCTCCAGCATAGTGAAAAGAAAACCCACAAACTGGGAAAAGATTTTAGTGAACTCTCTCTCAGACAAGGGCCTCTTGTCTAAAACATATAAAGAATTAAAGAAACTCAGACCTCTAAAATTCAAAGATCCAATCCAAAAATGGGCATCTGAGATGAATACGCAATTCTCAGATGAAGAAATGCAAATGGCAAATAAATACATGAAAAAATGCTCATCATCATTGGTCATTAGAGAAATGCAAATTAAAACCACACTGAGATACCATCTCACTCCTGAAAGAATGGCCAGGATCAAGAAAACCGACAACAAATGCTGGAGAGGCTGTGGGGAAAAAGGAACTCTCCTGCACTGCTGGTGGGAGTGTAGACTGGTACAGCCTTTGTGGAGATCTGTCTGGAGATTTCTCAAAAAGTTTGGACTGGAAATCCCATTTATTCCAGCTATTCCACTTCTAGGCATATTCCCAGAAGAACTGAAAGCATCATACCACAGTGATATATGTGCACCTATGTTTATAGCAGCACAATTTGCAATCGCCAGATCTTGGAAACAACCCAAGTGTCCATCAACTGAGGAATGGATAAAAAAGTTGTGGTATTTCTATACAATGGAGTATTATTTAGCTATAAAGAAGGATCACATTGAGATATTTATCAATAAATGGGCGCAGCTTGAGACCATACTCATAAGTGAAATAAATCAATCTCGCATGTGTGAATACCGAATAGTTTCCCTAATGTAAGTAATGATTCAAATATATAAAAATATGTGGTAATCATGATTCCCCATTAGGTGGCCTTGAAGCCTTATAAAGTTTTCACTCATTAATTAGAAAGGCTTTATTCTGGGCTTCTTGATATGGAAATATTTGAAGCTAGAGTATATGAAGTTTTATCCAAATATTTCAAGGAAAAAGACACTATGGTAACTACTATTAAGTCAGGTTATATGGTGGTGAAGTACTAGGTTGTTGAAACAGTCATGCTGTGACCTCTATTGTTATATTGTTATGTCCTGTTTTATCTCAATCTCCCCCTTATTGTTTTAAAAAAATTATTTAGTCATTTCTTATGTTTGTCTTAATTAAAGAAAAAATTCAAAAAATTAGGATATATAAATAGTAACTCTTTTCGATTTCCTATTAACTTGTTTTGAAGTCCTGTAGTACTCCCACGATCTTGTTTTGACTGATTAGACTCTGTTCCATTCTATATGATAGTATCAAGTTTGAAGACATAGACAACTACTTTGAAGACAATAAGATTCACTAAGATACCCATTCTGGTTTGACTATTGTCTTCTTTGGAAGTCCTGTAATGTTTACAATGCCTAAGTTTTATTGGTCTTGTTCTCTACTGTTTTGTCCAACTTTATAATATCTAATGAGATAGACAATTCTTTTTAAGGAAACAAGGGACAACCTTGATAACCACTGTTGATAAACTTGTACTCTGTTCTACACCATGTGCTATGTCTATTCTTGGTATTGACTGACAGCTTTGTTTTGCCATATTTGACTGTATTCTTCCCCCCCCCCAAAAGTAATAAGCACTAAGGAGTAATAAAATCCAAAATGTGTAAATTTCGTTGTAAAAAAGAGAGGGGAAAAAATGTATTAATGAAGGAGAGCAAGTCAATCTGATGTAAAATATCTTTGAGGGTGAAAAGTAAATTAAAATTTCATGATGATTTGATCAGAGTATTGCAGAGAACTTTTCATGTTTTTTTATCATGTGTAGTCTCCTCCTTTGACCAATGTACCCAAAGGTAGGGGATTATCAATTAACCCTATTGGAAGACACAATAGCACATGATATAACCACCTTAAAACTAGTGTATCCAAATCCTTAGACAGAACTTTTGTGGATTGTACCAGGAATCAAGCCTAGAGAATTTCTATTGTGCCATGGTTCCACAAATCAGAATGTTATTTGACCAGTTCTTAGGAATAATGTATGTATAATCCCTGAGTTAGAGGGTCTGGGGATGGCAGAGCTCAAAATAAAATTTTTTCCTAGATATTAATACCAGGAATTTTAGAAAGGCAATGAAACATTTTGTTTTTCATATTTTGGACTTTGAGATTTGGTTTGTTTTTTAATGTCTTCTGGTTTACTAACTTTAACAGACAAGTCCACACTCCCATTTAATGGTGTATTTCGCTTTAGCTCTGAAGGAATTAATCCAGGTGATATAATATATGATAATATATTTTTTAAATTTTTAAAAAATTTTATTTCAGATAATATAACATAATAGTAGGCACCATAGTGCCTCCTTCCTTGAATTATTTGACTATAACTTCATATACTATAGCACCAAGCGTATCAAGTCAGTCTGAAGCTATTCAAGAGAATGAAGAAATTACAGGGTATTTAGAACCAGTTAACAGAAATGAACAATGGTTTCTATATTATCTCCTTGCCTATAAAAAATTTTGTTTATACTATTGCATATAGTAAAATACAGTTAGATACCACATGTTAAAACCAGTGGAAACAGGTGTACAACAGCTTGATGGGTCTTCAAAGCAAGATTATATTAAATCAGTGCTAGCTTTTATGATGTGTTGTTTTCTTCAGAATAGATATTCCTACTATCACCAATACTAAAATCAAACAACCCAGGTTAAAGCCATTGCAATTAATAAGTG